GGAGGAGGAAGAGGAGGGCGAGGGGGAGGAGCCACTGCGCGGCCGCCTCCCTCCTCACCAGCCCCTCCCCTTCCAAGCCGCACCTTCCTCCCGCCCCTCCGCGCCACCGACGAGGCCGCCAGGCCAACCCGGAGCTGGCGGCGGACCTCTTGCGCAGCCTCCTCGGCACTGGTGGCGCGCAGCGCGGCGATGGGTAGCCGCCGCCGGCGCGCCGCCCGGAGTGGCGCTGTGCCTGCGGGGCCACCAATTTCAAGAACCAGCAGGCCTGCTGGCGGTGCTCCGCGGCGCGCGCCGGAGCGCCACCGCCCTGCCCGCCGCCGCCGCCAGCGCAGAGAGGCGGCGGCGCCGCCGCCTGGCCGGCCCTGCCAGGCGGCCGCGGCCCCTGGTCAGGGGCCCAGGCGGAGGTCTTCCTCCAGCGCGCAGCGGAGGAAGGAGAAGGCGGCCGCAGCCGAGGCCGCGTTTCGCGCGGGGGAGGAGGAGGCGCAGCGGGCGGAAGCGGCGCGGGCGGCTGCCCGGGGCCGGCGCGGAGCTCGCAGAGCTGGGGCGGGCCACGCGCGAGCTGCTGGACAGGCTGGAGACCTGGGGCCCGGGCCTGGGAGCGCGCGCCAGAGCCACTGCGGCGATGGCTGCAGCGCGCGCTGCCCTGGCGGCCGCAGGACAGCCGCCCCCCCCGCCCGACCTGGGCGCCGAGCTCGGCGACGCCAGGGCGCGAGGAGGGACGGGAACGACCTCCACGACGAGGAGCAGGAGGACTCCGAGGAAGACGCCCTCCTCGAGGAACTGGACCGGGCGGAGGCCGACGACGCCGCCCAGGCCGCTCGCCGCCTGCAAGGCGCCCGCCGGGAGGCGGCCGCGGCCGCCGCGCTGGCGCGCGGCCCGGGGGCGCGCCGCCGCGGCCGCATCCGGGCGGAGGCCCGCTGAGGCGGCTTTGCGGCTGCGCTGGCGTGCAGGCCGGCGAGGCCAGCCACCCCGGGCCAGCGGCGGGGGCGACGCTGGCCTGCTTGGGCTGCCCGGGGCCGCTGCGTGCAGTGCGGGCCCTGCGCCGCGAGGCCTGCGCTGCCTGCGGGGGTGGGGCTGGGCCTGGGGGCTGGCTGCGCCGCCGCGAAGCTTGCGACGAGCTGTTCTGCCGGGGCTGCGTTGAGGCCGCCGCCGCGGTCGCTGCCGCGGCGCCGCCCGCCGCGGGCGCGGCGCCTGCTGCCGCCGTCGCAGCGGCCGCCGCGCCGGTGCCGCCCGTCAGAGGCGCCGCCCCGACGCCGCCCGTCGGGGGCGCCGCGCTTGTTGCCGGCGCGCTCGTTTCCGGCGCGCCCCGGCGCGCCCGGGGGGGCGCGCTTTGCGCTGGCTGCTGCGGCGCGCCCGCTCCGCGACCCGACGGGGCCCTGCTGGGCGGGGCTGGGCCAGCTGGACCTGCTGGAGGAGCTCGCTGAAGACGTTCCCACGCTCCGCTACGTGCTTGGGGGGGCGCGCGCCGCTGTGGCCCAGGCTTAGCGGCTGCGGAGGAGGTCTGCCGGGCCGTCTTCGGCGCCGCGGCCCGCAGCCGGCATGGGGGCAGAGCCTGGGAGCTCCTGCTCCTTCGGGAGAGGCGGCCCCTCGCCGCGCCGCTCCAGCTGCGCGAGGGGCGCTCGCGACGAGCGGGGGCGGAGAGCCTGGGCCGCGCCAGGCTGGTGCGGGAGCGCTGCGCGACCCTGCGCCGCGGCGGCTGAGATGAGCTTCTGGCGGGGGCTCGCTGGGCGGGCCGGGCGTAGGCGCGGGCCTGGCGCGAAGGGCGCTGCCCTGGCTGCGACGCCGGCGCCCTGGCCGACGAGGCACCGCAGAAGGCGCTGGCCGAGGAGTACCCCCGAGCAGCTGCGCTCGCGAGCAGCCCAGGGCTGGCCCCGCTGAGCCAGGAGACCGGGCAGCGGCTCCAGGGCCTCCGGCAGCCGCGGGGCGCCCCTGCCCTGGCGCCGCCGCCAGCCCGGCAGCTCGACGACGCGCCCCTCTCTCACGGGCGGCTGAAGAAGGTCATCCGGGCCAGCCTGAAGGGGAGGGCTGGGCCGCCGTCGGCGGCGGCGGGTTCGAGCGCTGGCGGGTGGTGCTCCCTGGCCCCAGGGCGCTGGCCGCTTCCCGCGCCCCCGAGGGCGCCGCCGCCGCCCTGGCTACTTCGAAACTCGCGCCCCTCCGGAAAGGCGAGCGCGCTGCGCGCAGTCCCGCGCCAGACGCCGCATGTGGCGCAGGGCGGCCAGGCCGCGGCGGCCGCCCGTTTCGAGGGCGAGCGGCGCCATGCGCCACGGCGCACGCCCTGCAGGGTACCAGGCGTGCTTGTCAAACTCGGCGTTCCTGGTGACAGCGCCATCGCGTGCCGCGGCAGCCCGGATCCCGTCGGCGTCGCTGGGCACGCCGCAGCGCGCGGTGACGTCGGCGAACACCCGCGGGGCGTCCGCTCGCTACTGCTCCAAGTCGAGGATGGCTTCCTCGCGCCTGGCCGTCAGCGCTGTCCCGCAGCAAGCGCAGGCCGCCCCCGCCGCCGGGCGCGCGGCCGCCGGGCCGCCTGCCTCGCAGCTGGCGCAGTGCCAGCGCCAGCGGTCCCAGGCCGGCACCGGCGTCTGCCGCGCGACCAGGAAGCCGTTCGGCGTGGATCCGCTCCCACGCGGTCTCCAAGTCGCCGCCGCGCGCCTTCTGCCCGCCTCCGCGCGCGCAGCGCCAGGCGCGGTGGGCCTCGGCGCTGAGCGGGTCGCCGCGGCGCTGGCCAGCCCGCCCCCCGACCCAGGCGCAGTTCTGGCAGGTGGCCCGCGCGGGCGCCGCGTCCTGGCTCGGCAGGCAGCGCGCCATTGCGCGGAAGTCAGGGCCACTCAGCTGCTGCCCGCGCTCGCCGGGCGCGGCGGTCTGCCAGCGTGCGGCGCGGGGGCCGCCGCGGGAGCGGAGCAGCGCCTGGCCCTCTTCAGGGTCCCAGGAGCTCAGCAAAGAGGCGCATGTCTTTTGGCCCATCCTTGCCGCGAGCGCCCACAGGAGATTCTGCGGAGGCTCGGCGGCGAGCTCGGCCCAGGCAGGCAGCCTCTCAGGGCCGTCAGTGCCCCGGCGAGGCGGCGGCGGCGGGGGCGCCGCGAGCTCTGGCAGGCGGCGACGAGCGGCAGCGGGCTCGCGTCCAAGTCGCCCAGTGTTGCCGGCGCAGTCCTCCCCCGCAGAGCGCCCAGGCTCTGCGCCCAGAAGGCCGCCCAGGCCGCCGGGGTCGGCTCCTCCCGGCCGCGGAGGCCGCGGCCGTCGGCAACGCTGATTCTGCTGCGGCGCCAGCGGGTCCACGTGCCCGAGCTCCTCGTAAGCGGCTGGGAGAGCGGCGTCGTAGGCCGCCGGTGCCGGCCGCGCCTGCTCGGGCGGCGTCGCGCGCGCTGCGCGCGTCAGCTTGCCAGCCCCGCAGCGCCGCAGGAGCAGGGGCGCCATCTGCGCCGCGGGCAGGCGCGGGGGGGCCAGCGAGGGCAGCTCGCCAACCTTCGAGAGCAGCCCGGCGGCCCGCGTCGCGGCGTCCTGCGTCGCGTAGTCAGCTGCGCCCAAGTCCGCCCGGCGCCCCTCGCCCGGGCGCGGGGGCCCCCGCGGCTGCGGGCTGCGGCTGTTCGGGGGGCGGGGCCCCGACCGGCGTCAGGCCTCTCGCTTGCTGGCGCGCCTCCAAGCCGGGCGGGCACGCGGCCCCGGGTGGCCGGGCCCGTGTTTTGCACAGCTGCAGCTCCAGCCCCCAGCGGGGCAAGCGCGGCCGGCGCTGCTGGCAGCACCTCCGCGGCCAGCTCCGGCGGCGCGAGGGCCGCCAAGTCGCCCAGGTAGGCGAACACGTGGACGTCGCCCAGCGGGGGCCCCAGAGCCACGTCCCGCCGGCACAGCTCCTCCTCCTGCGCGCGCAGGCGGGGGCGCAGGCCGCAAGCGAAGGAAGGCGCGAACGGGTCGCCCTGGCCCACGCCGTCAGCGGCGCGGAAGCGGGGGCAGGCCCCCTTGCTGTTCCCAGAAGAAATATTGCGAGGAGCGCCTGCAGAACAGCTCTGCGCAGGAGAGGAGGGAGGGATCCACCTCCCCCAGCTCCCAGAGGCAGTCGGCCCCGCGCGCGGTGCAAAAAGCGTTCTTAGCGCCCAGTGCCGTGACCGCACGGCGCGGTGAGGCTTCAGCGGGGCGCGCACCGCGTGCGCCAGAAGATCTACCCCGGCGGCCGTGCCGATTGCGAACTGCCGTCTTCCGAGCGCGCCCGCCAAGTGGCCCCGTCGCACGGCGGCGCGCGCGCGGCCCCCCATGCGCCGCGGGATGTTCGGCGCCGCGATGGGCCCTGCGGCCGCGGCGGCAGCCAGCGGCCTGGGGCGCCGCTGAGGCGCGGAACTGTCGGTGGCCCTGCAGACGGCCATGGCGCGCCAGCTGCGGACCGCGCTTGGCGCGGAGGCGGCGCGGCCAGGCGCGCGGGCGGCCCTGGCAGCCGAGCTCGCCGGCTGACCTGGCACGGCGCGGTGAAGCTGCTCTACATCATCTTGGTGTGTTCAGAAAAGGGCAGAGGGCGGCGGCGAGCGGGCGTGTGTCACAGACTGCGCTTCGGGGTTCGCAGGAGGATGAGCATGGGCAGGAGGAAAAGGGGGAGGAGGAGGAGGAGGAGGAGGAGGAGGAGGAGGAGGAGGAGGAGGAGGAGGAGGAGGAGGAGGAGGAGGAGGAGGAGGAGGAGGGAGGAGGAGGAGGAGGAGGAGGAGGAGGAGGAGGAGGAGGAGGAGGAGGAGGAGGAGGAGGAGAGGAAGGAGGAGGAGGACGAGGTTTTGGTGGTCGTCCGAGTCGTTGTCGCCTCCCTGTCTGAGGCCTAG